ACTTAGACTTAGTAAGTTCCCCTGACCCTCCAAGTGAAGTGTCACAGAAGGTTCCTGGCTCCTTTGGTCCTGTGGCCTCTGCCTCTGTCTGGGTCCTGGGTGGTTTGTCATATAGTACATTATAATTTGGGTTGACAGGCTTAGGGCTAAGGACTTTTTGCCAGATGGAAACCATACCCTGGGGGTCTTGGAACGCGGAGGATATGTAGGGTTTAGGACGTATGGGTCTAAAAGGCCTTGGGGTATAGTATGCTGTAAACAGGATAGGGCTACAGCCGAAAAGTGCTCTCAAAATTGGAAGCTTCTACTACAATGACCTTCGCTCGGCCCTGGAGACACAAACACGTTTTTTGACTGATGCTTTAGTCTGACTGTTGTTGTAGACAAGAACATCTTCCCTGCCAGCTTTCTGATACATATAACATATGACCAAGCAAGACCCATATTGCCCTACTCGAAAGTACAATGCCCAAAAACATTTTTTTCAGGGGAGAGTGACTAAGACCCTGTTGTGCCCTGTTTTCAGCCCCTTCCCCACTAGACCCCAGCTGTAATCCCCAACTGCTCCAAGCCTCTAAGCTCTACATACCTCTTAAGCCCTGCACCGTCCATTTGCCCAAAACCCTGGATGATGCTACACAAAACCTAATTGCATCATTGCACCGGCAAGGAATTGCTGGGCTCCACGGGTTTCCCACCCTCTAGCAGCTGCCTGAGCTTCAGAGGCTGGAGCTTACGGTTAAAAGGGTTGAAGGTGTTTATGATATAAGTTACCGGTTTACGGTCTGTGGCTTTAGGTGAAGCTCGGCGGCGGTTCAGGGTTTAAACTTGCATTGCGTTGCTTAGCGTGGGTTCACAGTTTGGGGGTAGATGATTCAATGACAGAAGGGCGTGCCTTCGCGATTTGAAGGGATAATGGAATTTAATCTACAGGGCACCAAAAAGCTTGATTGACCCGACGGCCAGGGTCTCATGGGTTTAAATGTGGAGGTTCCACTAACCCCTAGCAGCCCTAGCACTTTATGTATTTGGGTTGTACATATAGGGGACCGTGAGCTTGAGAAACACGCAGTGCATCATAAGGACTCGCAAGAAAGGGCCGCTGGTTATCGAAAACCCTGAACCGTATGTATCCGTATATATATATATATAAACGCAAAGTTCTCGTTAGTCCTAAATACCCCCTATAACCACTTTAAACGGGAACCACAGTTTTTCAAAAACCCTAACTGGCCCTAAAGTTGGGGAAGCGTAATTTGCTCTGGGGATTACGTTTGGAGGCAGCAAACGCGATTTGGAGGGACTCCTGCAAGTGTTTCTGATTACCGTTTGTGACCCGAATTGAGTGCATAAAGACCTCCGGACATATCTAAGCAGTCCCCACAAAACCATGGCCTGATGGCTGATAGCAGGCTACGAAGGAAAGGAACATGGAAGCCGTTATATAATTAGGGTTCTATGGGGGTTACCACAGGGATCCATTCCTCCATCTAACTGGGTGGTACCTTACTATTTATGAATAGGCTTCTTTGTACAATAATGAGCCCAAAGTGCTACCTTGTTTAAGCATTCCACACCAAGTCCCATTTTTCTCTCAAACAAATGAGGCACCCTGGACGAGCGGGAGGAGGGCAGTGGAAATACGAAAGTCCACCTGTCCAGGCAACTTCCATGTAAGAAGCTATCGGTTTGTGTGGGTTTAGGGTTTGGGGTGTAGGATTTAGGACTTATGAACGCTCGGTTGCCCGGTACGCGGGTTCGCGGGTTCACGGGTTCGCGGGTTTGCGGGTTCGCGGTTTCACCGGTTCGCGGGTTCGCGGGTTCGCGGGTTCGCGGGTTCACGGGTTCGCGGGTTCGCGGGTTCGCGGGTTCGCGGGTTCGCGGGTGCACGGGTTCGCGGGT